AGGGTGTAAATCTTTACGGGAGTAGAAAGCCTCATCTTTCGCCCGCCGAGCGGCTGGTAGTTTCGAACCGCTGACCTTAAGGTTTGCAGCCCGATTCGTAACCACTACGCTACATAAGATTATTACTATATGATTCCCTTTACATAGCATTTTTAAAAGTGCATGGATTTAGAAATAGTTAAATAGGTACCATGACTTAACAATGACCTTACACATGTGATTATAGAATATAGAATTATATACATATACACGCATAAATGAATGTATGGTGAAATCTTAATAAGATGGGTGGACTATATTATTATAATATCCTGGTAATGATAATATACTATAAACTACAGCATATTAGTATTGGGGAAAAGTAGGTAAAGTGTACACAATCGCCCTGTATTATTTCTTACAAATGTAAGTGAATTTAAAACTATATCAATAAAAATTTCAACTTTAAAAAATGGATGGACACAAGTCTGTAAGATAGTACAGACTAATGATTAAATCCATAATTCTAAGTTATTAAAAAAACAACTATACTAACATATTTTTTAAATACAAAAATCCATACTGGAGGTATCTCTCTCATGTAAGATTCTTCATATAGTTTAATTTTATGTATTAACCACTTAGAGCTCTTCATCAATAAGAATAATTTTTGCTTTCTTTAATATCACACTCATTTGAGACTGTCCTTTGATTTTAAGTTCCTCCTTTTGTCTATCATTTTTTTCTTGCCTAGTTCATATTTATATAGCTTAGTTTTAGTTCCAAAAATGGGGCTTAATAGAGTAGATTTTGGTTCCAGGCTGTAATGTAGTAACATGAATTAATTCTAGCAGTAGAACTGATAATAATATTTAGGGGTGGGGGAAAGATTTGATTCATCATTAGAAAATTATACTCAAGAATCTTCTATGTATTGGTTTAAATGGCTCTAACTTTTTTTTTTTTTAATCCTTGAAAGTGCATATAGCATTTGAATGGGTGAAAATGGGTATATGACACTATTTTAAAACTTACTACAGAATGGACTTGAACCAGTAGTATCCAAAAACACAGTGTTCCTTAAAGATAGTTTTCCCATTTTTTCTTTTAAAATACCTTTCCACAGATAAGCATTATGACCTGAGATATGAGAGAGGAAAAAAAAAAAGAAGAAAAAATTGAGTTTCTATTAAATAGTACATAAAATTTCAAATCACCAAAGAAACTGAAGGAACAATGCATGGATTTTGTATAACTTAAAAAGTAGTTTTTTCAATAATATGAGAGCAAGTCAAAACGTATTGCTACAAAGACCTAGACACTTTTATTAAGCAAAATTGTGAAAATGTGCAGCTGTTGTTTCTCTGTCAAGATCTTCTTTCAAGATCTGTTTACTTCTGATGGTAGTGTTCTCATTTCTCTAACCCTTCCCTGGAGAATTCTACATCCAATTTACATCACTTAAAACAATAGTTTTGGCATCCGTGCAGGAGTGGAATCCTGTTCCTCTTTAAAGTTCTTTGAGTTTGTGAAATAAAAAGAAGTCCTGAATTGGCAAGATCTGAACTCTAGGGTGGATGGGGTAGGTTTCCCTAGAAATTCTCATAGGATAACCCTTGTTCCCCTTAAAGAATGAGCAGGTGCATTGTCGTGATGGAAAACAATTACGGGAAACAATTTTTCTGGCCTTTTTCTCACCAGTGCTTTTTCCAATTTTCTCTAAACTTCTTCATAATAAGCCCCAATGATCATCGTGTATCCTTTAAGAAAATCTATCTTGATTATCCTTTTGTAATCCAAAAAAACTGTACCCTTAACATTCTGAGATGACCTCTCTGCCTTGAATTTAACTGGCCCAGCAGATCTCCACAGACGCCCCTCGATTTTTTTTTTCAAGACATTCTAATAAAACTAAGATAAATTTATTATTGTAAAAACTTGTCTGCAGTCATCCTCTGATTACAGAAACATGTTTAAATATGTTTTGATTGGAATAAACCCATGCATGTATGAACTGAAACCACAGTACCAATACTTTTTTCATCTACTCTAGTATAATTCAACTTATTTTAATTACAGTGTTGTTGTTGTTGTTGTTGTT